ACTATTTCTTTGTTTGATCAAATTTAATGGACATGACCAACATTTATTGAGACCTTGTCGAAGATCAAAATAATTCTAAAATTTAAGTAGACATTATATTTGAAACAAACATTTTTAATCAACAGTATTGTAAATTCTCGATCAGAACTGAGATTTATAAATAACGAACACATAATTATGTACATGTATTATCAGTCAAACAAAACTATTACCAAACCGTAGATTCAGTTAAATTAGATATGAAATGGAATTTAACACGAACGCCTGTTGCATTTTTCCATAACTTCGGATGATTCTAAATTCAACACTTTCCATTGTCATGCCCAGATGCTGAATTCTGCTTAAACCGGTGCTAGGGGTTGTGGACGGTAGGTTGCATTTACCACTGCTGTCCATGAACAGGCTCAATCGAGGCTGCAACATATTCAATTAACCGTTTCGTGCATGCTTTAAGTTATTCGGTTTTAAAACTTTTGAAAATGCCAGTCGGATACAATAATAGCAATAATGCAGTAACCTTGTTTTTGCTTAGACTGTGATCAGAAACTGGCTCGATTTTGGCCAGAAATTAGTAAAGAAAGGGTCAATAAACTGGTCGGATTATGACAAGAAAAACATAAAAGGATGTTTAAGGGTATCTGTGTACATAAAAGGTCCTGTAATAATTAATGCAGAACCTGTTGGGGGGGAATATCTACAAATCATGGTGCAGCCAAAGAAATCCAAGATGGCCGCCAAAAATATGAAAATTACCGTTTTCTCTCAATAATTTTTTTTGGCAGTTAAAGCTGTTGCATAATTATATTCTTTTTTGCATTCTTTTATCAAATTAATGACACAATTGCAATCTATTTTCAATGTTAAATACTTAGTCAAAAGCAGAAAACCTGTCGGAATATGTGAAAAATTGCTATTGATAAAATATGTCATGTATATTCTTTCCTTTTTTCTTGCAATTGTGTAATGAATTGTTTTCGTTGAAACTCATTCATATCAAAACATTCATGTCACCAGATGTTACAATCGACATCTTGTGCCATACAATTTAACCGTATTGAAAAAATATCGCTTTAGTCATACCCAAGAATGACATGTAGATGCCACCGTCATTGTATTCCTTTTAACGCAGACTACGTATTAAATCTATAAAGTGCTTTTTAAAAAGTGTTTTACAGATGCCTGTTCTTAATTCCTTTCATTTCAAAACGCAAGTCAAGTTTAATCTGCAACATCATTTATCAAGATTTATTAAAAGTTTGCTAAATTAACATTGTCGTACATATCACAATGTTATAATACATTACATGCACATCTTATCGAGATTATTTTAAATCCAATTTTTTTTGCCATTGCACTTAAACTGCATTCGTTTGAATCTTATCTAAAGCCAAGATTTCACAAGGCCAAGTACACAAGTTTCTTGTTCCTTTATTTACTGCCGTGAGTTTGTTTGTTTTGGGTTTTACGTCACACCGACACAGTACATGTCATTTGGCGACGTTCCAGCTTTACTGGTGAAGGAAGACCTCAGGTGCCCTTCCGTGCATTATTTCAGGCACGATAGGGCACCTGAGTAGAACCACCGACGTTCTGTAAACTAGCTGGATAGCTTCCTCATATGAAAGAATCCAAAGTCCCTGTCGGAGTTTGTTTGTTTGTTTTGGGTTTTACGTCACACCGACACAGTATATGTCATTTGGCGACGTTCCAGCTTTACTGGTGGAGGAAGACCTCAGGTGCCTTTCCGTGCATTATTTCAGGCACGACAGGGCACCTAAGTAGAACCAAAGACGTTCCGTAAGCTAGCTGGATAGCTTCCTCACATGAAGGAATCCAAAGTCCCTGTCGGGATTCGAACCCACAGCGGTGAGGGGCAAGTGGTTTGAAGGTAACGACCTTAACCATTCGGCCACGGACGCCCCTACTGCCGTGAGTGCACAAGTACAACTTATTTCATGGATATGTCTTATTGTTTTACTACATTAAAGTTTCAAAATATTCAAGCGTTCTGAAATGGGTACAGTATGTTAAATAATTAAAATATCGCAACAATACACTTTGCCGTCTTTTAAGGTTGAGTAAACTTATACAATGGTTACTAGAGTTTGGTGGTGTTTGTAGTGTTTACTCCATGAAGTCACATTGAATTTACCACCAAATCGTTCATTGGCAGGGTGTCAAGAAGTCTACGAGTACGTGTTGCCTTCACTTTCGCAAGGAACTGAATACTAGCTAGTGAAGAGGTACAGTGGGAATGGCCATAGAAAGGATTTCATGATAAATCACAACGCAAGTGACCTGCTTCGTCCGGGAATCGAACTCGGGTCGTCCGATCCTTTATCCAACGCTCTACTTATTGAGCCATTAGAGTTTAGACGCCATGTATTCCTTTTACACCGAATCAAAACTCTTCATTATACTTACAGGCAATACAAAGGCCATTGCTAACAAGCAAATGAAAAGACTGTGAGTTACAGGCAATGTGAACAATACGACCATTGTTTACAGGCAGTACAAACCATTGTTTACACACAATGGAAAAGACCACTGGTTACAGACAATAAAACGGCCATTGCTTGCAAGGAATACAAAGACAAATTCTTACAGGGAATAAAAAGGTCATTGCTTACATTCAAGACCTATCGTACATAAACAATGAAAAGCAAATAGCATTTGCAGTTATTTTGACCACTATAATTCACAACAAATCCGTATTCTTCAGTCTACAACTTACATTAATCTATTTAGTAAACAAATGCTCCTATTATATTCTCAACGGAAAACCAATTGTTTTTACGACAGCCTAAAAATATAAAAAATGCATCAATTAACATGTGCAGCATACTTAGGAAACATCTTCCAGGCATTTTAAATCTTCTGCTCAAACAGTCAATATGCGCCACCGGATGAATAAATACACATGTGCTTTAGCAATTTTCATTGGATGCCTCTTTTCAATGTTCACATTACGTGAACTCCGTGCAAGATTAGCAGGTAGTTTTTAATACATTTACACCATGGAATTGAACGCAGCGTTTATGTAGATTTGTGATAATTTTGTTTTAGATTATGATACTGTTTGTATTCGTCTTGCCGCTAGGCTTAAATAAGGTGAGCACCTCATTTATAATCAAGAAGTCACTGGTTCGATTCTTGGGCGAGCCGAGATTAGTCCGTCACAACTGGTCTCAGAAATTTAGTCTAATGGTCATTTGTCCATTTCCGCTGACTCAGAAATGATGCGCGGGGATTTTAAGTCGGTCATTCATGGAGAAACTAGCGATAACTGGTCAGTTATTCAGAAAAGTCTGGTAGTTGAACTGACCGCTAAAACATGACCAAACGTGTGTAAAAATCGGGGTAAAAACAAACATACAAACAAACATACTCTTCTTTATATTTGTGGAAATGATGTAAAGTGTACACTCAATAAAAATGAACTTAATATCCACAAACATGTTTATTTTTCATTTAGCATGTTAAAATAAGCAGATAATGTGCCAGGATAGAATGTATTGTCATGTACAAAGGATCACTTGATTTGTTTATGCTTTTTTCACATTTATTTAACTACTGCATGTACTCTATTTATCTTCTGTTCGATTTTATTTGAAAACACATTAGAAAACTTACAACTTGAACCTTTAAATCAATACAGCAATTTGTCATACAGTGATTTTATAATGTATCGTGGCAGTTAAGCTATTTTTATTTTGTTATTCAAGGACAAACTACGTTCAGCGAATTAGAAGAAAAAGACAATACAATCACTGCGCATGAGCTTCCGGAAGTAAAACATGTACCAGCAGACGACACCTGTGACCTTAATACAACAAAACATATTCCAGAAAGTGACTCTGGGGACTCGAAAACGGTACACTTTCCTGAAAATATCAAAATAAGATATACGTTGTATAAATAACTCTATGAAAATATACGAGGGTTGTTCAAAAAGTAAAAGGCCTGCAACTCTACTCTTCACTTTTCTAAATTTACAACAACAATTTTACAAGAGACAAATACACCGTAAAATAACTGAATAACTTTTTGTACATAATTTGTATGTTTGTGAATGGCTATAATCTGAGATTTTCTCTATGTCATTAGTCTATAATGGAAGGTCTGTAATACAATGAATAATTACGTTGATAGTATAAATTTAGTATTAGGCATACAAACAAACTAAAAGAACTATAAATGGGAATTGTTGGCAAGTGTGAGATACATAAGCCGATATTATACATTATACATTGTATTTATACAGCAGATGATAATGTATTCTAGATCACAATATTGAAAATTCACTGATAACTTTTATCAACATGTTATTTCAATCAGCTATTTATAAGAAAATCCAAACGATGTATTTATATTGTATTTATCAATATTTAAAATCTTAATGGAAAATGTGCCCATTGTAGACGTAGACCTATTCACCTATACGATATGAAACACGTTTAATTGTTTAACTTGACATCAAATTGAGGTATGAAAGAAGATATTAAAAGAATACTTCTACAGGTTTCTCTCATTCAATAAATTATTTTGATTTTTTTCCAGATTTTAAATCGGTTTAAAGCTCGGTTTAATGTTTTGGATACAATATGCAGTGCTTCCAAAGAACGCTCGGCATACACTGATTGCGATGAAGAAAACGTGAAGCGGAATCTAAAATATTCAAAACACCGAAAGTTGGTTTATTGCGCAATAGAGAAAACGGGAAGTACGTTTTGGAAGCGTATTTTGTACATAATTGGCGGGAAAAGCAACGTTTCAAATCCTACGCACATCGAAACAGTACGGGCTGAATACAGCGAAGAAAGATTTTGTGATATGACAGATAAAACCTGGGGAGAAATAAGAGATATATTCATGAAATCCACAAACATAATGTTCGTAAGACACCCTTACGCTCGTCTATTCTCTGCGTGGCTAGATAAATTTTATTCCCCAAACATTATATACTGGAATTCCACAGGGAAAGCCATTGCGCAGTCACAAAGAGGGGAGAAAGAGCAAAAATGTGCAAACGATATAACATTTACCGAGTTCGTGAATTATACTGTAGACAATATTTTATACGGAAATACTTGTATCGATCGTCACTTTTCACCCAATTTTGTACACTGCAATCCATGTGAATTGTCCTACGATTATATAGGAAAATACGAAACCATGAAACAAGACACGCTCTTCATACTGCAAGCGTTAAATCTAACTGGTACGGTGACATTTTCTCAATTCGACGAAGACGCCGCTTCCGACGCCATAAAAGACGCTGCAGATTGGGTTTATTACCAGAGGGATAACATCCAAGGTTGTGGAATAACGTTCAACTGTGCGTTATTCAGAGTATGGAAACGTCTTCAAAGTCGCGGGATAATAAGCATTTCAATTGGGTTTCCCTTCAGAAATAAAGAAAACGCAACGTCACGTGAGGACTTCGAAAAAGCTTTGAGAGAGGCGCATATAGGAAGTGACGCGGAGGAACTGAAACGTAATAAACACAAAGCGATGACACAGGCACTGATGTCACTTCCGGAGAATATCAAAGAAAAAGTACTAAAAGCTTATGAAAGAGATTTTGATATGTTCGAATATGATAGATATGTAGATATGACGTTGCAATCAAATGAAACATTTTTCACTGATTGTCCTACAGATCTATAAAATTGTTGTTTTTTTATTTCTCTGTTTTTCGTTCTATAACAATATGTTGATGCAAGAACAAGTTTTTTTTTAACAGCTGACTGTTTTTATACAGAAAAATGAAGACGGCGGCTTGGCAATTAACACGATTTCACCATTTGTACCAGTTACCACGTAACATAAGAATACCACATTATAACAAAAATGGACGACAAAATTTTTAAAAAAGTGTTGACTACGGGGCACGATATGCGCTACTTATTTTTTCGTGTTTGGATAACAATATTAGGAATATTTCTCTTAAAAGAAGAAACATTAAGTTTATTTTTTTCAAACCTTTTACTTCTTTTGTACATATTATGATAATATTATTTTTTTTAAAAATTTGTACAAAAAGAACAATAAATATGTTTAAATCAAATCTATTTTAGTCACTAACAAATTCTAATTCGAGTACTCGGTTGAATGTCAATCCGTAGCATGTTGTAGAATTGCTTATATACTTGTTTAGAGATTATCGTGCCTTATATGTGTGTAAAGTTAATACATCTATTTTCAGTTCGCTTATTTGTCCATTCATCGCATTTTATACTATGAAAGAGCATTAAATAATACGAGCAGTTCGTTTTTTTTTTATTAAGCAAACATATTAGCCAAGTTTACATCAACATTATATGTGTGGTTTCCACTAAGTAAAACCAACCCTTACCCACACCTCACCTTTCCGATCACCTACCAATATGCCAACCTGTTGTTCTGACCATTTACCAAAGCTATATTATCTGTCCAGTTATTCACATAAATTATGGTATGTAATGTTTTTATACAAACTATCACTGGCATATATATTCCTTATCAGTTTTTCATGAATGAAATGTGTGCCCACATATGTGTATGAACTTTATCATTCCGCTTAGTGGTTTCATCTAAAATCTAACACAATGTCAATGGTTAATACAATTTTCTCTTTGGTTTTGTTACTTATTGTCAATGTGAGTATTTTTTCCTTGGCTAAAGAATGTTACTGTAACGACATCGACGAGTTAAAACAGCATATGGAACGTAAAATCGAAGAAGTTAAACACACATGTAACAAGCGCTACGAAGAACTCGAACAGAAGGTTCATAAACAAAGTAAGTAACAGTGTGCATGTACATGTGTAACAATATTAAGAAAAAGAAAATGTTCGATATTCATTTTCATTTACACAATTGTGATGTCTTGGAGTATTACAGTGAAAGAAATGTACTCTTGTGGTAGACTAGCTATCTAGGGACGACCGTAGTGGAGTGGTTAAGGTTGTTGACTTTAGGTCACTTGCATTTTACCGCTTAATGTTCGAACCGCTCAAGCCTCTTTGCATCACTCCATGTTAGTAAACTGACCAGCTAGCTTACAGAAATGTCGCAGGTTCTACTCAGGTGCCTCTTTGTGCCTGAAATAATGCACGAAAAGGCATAAGAGTTCTTCCTTCAACAGTAAAACTGGAAAGTCACCATATGATTTGACCTGCGTCACGGCAAAACCAACATAATGGGTTTGCGACCAGCATGGATCCAGACCAGCCTGTCTGATCAGGTTCCATGCTGTTCGCTATCAGTTTCTCTACTTGTTATAGAGTATGTAAGCGAACAGCATGTATCCTGATCAGACTGCGCGGATGCGCAGGCTGGTCTGGACACATGCTGGTCGCAAACACATTTTGTTGGTTTTGTCATGGCGCGGCTCATTTATACTGTGTAGCTGCGACGTAAGATCTAATAAGATAATTATGAGAATCATATAAGGAAAAAGGCACATTCTAGTTGTCTCGACTTGGATTAGAATCTGGACAGTGCAAGGTTTTAATTTTCTGAGCGTTTTAAAGAGTAAATTATGCAGACATATGATTCTTAGTGATGACACACCACACAGATAATGTTCTTGGAAAGTTCTGTTCCCGAAACTTGCAGTTTGGTTTTCGTTTGTCGAGAATCGAAATATTTTGCTTAAGTACCAGTGTATGGGTTCAGTGTCCGATAAAATGACATCCGGCAAATACAGAGAAAGAGACGTCAACTTCAAGATGATCAGTCTTAAGTCAATGGCCGAGTGGTTAAGCTTAAGGTCGTTGACTTCAAACCACTTACCCCTCACCACTGTGGGTTCAAATCCCGAAAAGGACTTTGGATTTTTTTTCATGATTGTGAGGAAGCTACCCAGGAAGCTTATAGAATGTCGGGGGTTCTACTCAGGTGTCGCTTTGTGCCTGAAATAATACATGGAAGGGCATTTGAGCTCGTCCTTCATCAGTAAAGCTGGAAAGTCACCATATGACCAATACTGTGCTTGTGCGATGTAGAACCTTGCACAGTCAAACAAAAATCACTTTCAAGTTGTCCTAGTTGTTGTTTCTCAATCATTGCAGCTTCCAGACGTGCGCTTGTTGGTAGCATTGCATTCTCAGCACAACTGACGGTTAAACTGCTACACATACCCATTGGTACTACCATTAAGTTCAACAAGGTGCTCGTGAATGATGGACCAGGCTATGATAACATAACTGGCGTTTTTATCGCACCGGAAGCTGGGGTAAGACTACATATACATTTTATATAGTATATACATTATATATTCCAGGTATGTTTTTTTATTATTCTTAAAGCAACACGCCTCCAGATTCAATCATGCTTATTTTCATAAAAAAATGAAAATGTATTTAAGATTACAATATTGCAACCGGCAGTTTTGTAAACTTAACGTAAGTTACTAAAACATTGGTAAAAATATACAAAAAATAGCCATTATTGAGCTAGTAACGCAGTAGGAATATGGATATATGTACTAGAAGATCAGTCATTAATCGCATATAACATATCATTATTACTTTAATCTCGAAACATTTTACTTCTGTTGTAATCTTAGTACATTTTTCTCAAGTTTGATTTTTCAATAGTTTGTCTCATCTGGAGACATGCATCTTTATCATCAGGAAATATTTTTGATTTAAATACAGATTTCATACAAATGCCTTTAAATCAGATCTGTTTATATATGAGCCGTATCACGACAAAACCAACATAATGGGTTTGCGACCAGCATGGATCCAGACTAGCCTGCGCATCCGCGCAGTCTGATCAGGATCCATGCTTTTCGCTATCAGTTTCTTTACTTGTTATAGGGTCTGTAAGCGAACAGCATGGATCCTGATCAGACTGCGCGGATGTGCAGGCTGGTCTGGATCCATGCTGGTCGCAAAGCCATTATGTTGATTTTGTCATGACGCGGCTCAATTATATCCTTTTCAAACCAATGAAGAAAACAATGTTAAGGCTGAACCTTGATTATTTGACTGTCTAGTATCGTGACTTGTAAGTAAGTCTTGCGGGTAGGGCTCATTAAGGTGCATGTACATGTAACTGAAGCTTTGAGGCTCAGATTGGAAGACTTCCTTGATAGGGTCAATATTGAAGTTTTGTGGCAAAGGGATAAAAACAACCGATAAACCAAAAGCAACATGACCTCCGAAACTATTAAGGAGATCGGTAAATAAAATTATTTATAAGTCAATAACACATGGCCACAAAAAATGTTCAGCTTGACTATATTCAGGATTGATTTCAATTCCTGTGGTTTACCATTGGTGTCAAGGTAGTATAATTATGTTAACCTGACTCTTGAAAACATTATTCTTTTATAGGTGTACATGTTCTCATACTTCATTGGTAATGGTAACAAAGTTGGTCAAAATTGGGTGAGTTTAATGCACAATGGGCAGAAAATCAACAGCGCAGTTACGGACACTTTCCATACCAACGAGGACTTACAGGGAGGCAACATGGCTCTGATCCGGATGGCCGCCGGGGATCGTGCGTGGATTGAGTCCTTTCACGCCAGTAATGCATATTTAGACGGCCCCAATGGATTCACATCTTTTTCGGGCATATATTTATATGCTTGAACTGAATTTAAGATTATTCAAGTCAAATATAATGAAATAAACAGTGTAAAAAACAACGCCTATATTTTTTCTTTCTTGTGTTCTTTTAGCACATCATCAATTATCGATGTTGATACATTGCATATACACTTTTCAGAGTAGTTAAGATCGTCCGCGCAACCAATTTGTAAACTGGAGACGATCTTACAAATTGACCACATGCTGTTCTCATAGAGACAACAGCTGTTTCGTATATCCTACAACTATTCTAATTTATTTGTAATTAATATTTTGTTTCTATTAAGTTTATCATTAACCATTCTTAACGTTTTAAATAAACTTTTTCATCTTTCAATCTGAACAAAACTATTCACTACCTATATTGAGCGCATGGGTTGCAACAGGCCAAAAGACAAATTTAATAAGATAAACTGTACAGAAAAACAAACAAGTACAGATACGTTAATTTCAGTCAACTTTAAATGATTACAGATTTATAAATCTATATTACTATGTTATAAGTAGAATTGAATTTTCATTTTAAATTACTAACATCAGATGACATCTTGTTAAGGAAGGTTAAGAAGTAAAGATCGGGGCGATGGAAGCTGATTGGAAGAAATAAAACGAACGTATAATTCTAATTTACTGACGATATTTCTTTCATTATACCGTCATGACATAACTATCATAACGTCATGGCATAACTATTATAACATCATGGCATAACTATTCTAACATCATGACATAACTTTTATAACGTCATGGCCTTTCTATCAGCAAGTATACTTTTAGTTAAACAAGCATTGCCCGCTTTACGTACTGCAAAATATAGTAAGAACTGAATCTCGAAAGAATTCCCAAAAGGTTGCATGCTCGGTTTAACTGAGCCTCTGCATGAACGGCAGTTGTAATGGCAAACTACCATCCACGCTAACATGAAATGTACAAGGCACATTTCCTTTTTTAACGAACATATTTCCTATAAGACACAGTTATTTTTGATTATAAAATTGAACAAAGACATGAACACAAAGTGTGTCACATATGAAGAATTTGGCATATATATTCTTATCAGTCGTTTTACTTCATGTAATCGTGCACGTACTATTCCTTCTCTTAAAACAAAACTATGCCAGTGATTAATACAATTTTGTATTTCGCTCTTGTTATTCATGGGAGTACATGCATTTTGGCCTTTGCAAAAAATTGTACTTGCGATGACGTCAATGACTTTAAGCTTTTCATGGATAATCAAATTGAAGAAGTAAATAAAACATGTGAGAAGCAATACAAAGATCTTGAAAACAAGATTCAAAAACAAAGTAAGTAAATTAATTGCAGATTATTTTCAGTATATATGTTTGTGAGGTCGCTATCGAGGTACATGCTCATACATTGAACAATGTACGAAAGGGCAATGAAGGTCTTACTCTATCAGTGGATTTGTCAACATAATTTCTAGTACCATAATGGTATTAGTGCAATAGATACCTAACACATTGATTTTGTTCTTTTATCAACGATGTTGTTATTAAGATATCATAGTAAATATTTATTAAAATAGAGAAAATCAGAATCCTTTAAGAATGTCCAACAAGGCAAAATTAAAAATTTTGCAGGCTGAGATTGATTGAAGGTTATATGATGGTTGTGAAAATTAAATACGGTATGAATTTTCACCGAGGTAAACAAGTGATCCATAATCTCACTATAGACAAGCACTGTAAAAGTAAAATAAACTATAAACTATTTTGTACTTCACTAATACAATTTAGTATTTCAGAGAAGAACACGAGAAAGTACTTCTTGTTTTAACAATATTTGATATTTAAAAGGTATAAAACTGTACTAGGTTGTCTAAAAACAGAAAAACTTATTTGAGCATCTTGCTTGAAAAAAAACAACAACAACAAAAAAAAAACAACAAAAAACAAAGTACTTAAATAAAAAAGATGTTTCTTAAGTTCTAAATAAGTGAGTAGCGTATGAATGGAATTGTCGATGATGTTATTGGAGACCCATCCTGCGTCTTGTTACAGTTTCCAAAAAGATACTCATTGCCAATATACCGGTAGATAAACTATCGTTTTCATCCTAAGCTTCATTTGCTTTCTAGCAATAAGTTAAGTTAAAGAGATTTATGAATGGAAGTTAAAAATGCTTCTTTGTTTACAGTTTGCCTCCATAATGCCACATTATTGCACGTCTGCCATACGCTCATCAGTTGTTTAACATATAACATAATAGAACACATGTAAGATCTTTTTGAAGAAGTTAAAAATCAATGATTTCTGAGGCTTAATGTGCATTTAGATATAATTATGGAACCCAGTTTGAAAATTAACTATTTTGTGGGGGAATATCTTATCATTTTGTTTTAAAACATTTCACTTGCGTGTTTTAAAGATCGGAGTATAGATGTTAACTTCCAATTATAGCATTTTCAGATCCCTACTAAATTTCCCGCGTCATTCAATTATTACTCCTTTCTATTTCATCATCAAAAGGGAGAAATCGCTTCATCTGTTTAATTCGCAATCAATTTTAGTTACGAGACGGTCAGTTTCAAGTGGCATTGCATTTTCGGCACAGCTGACGGTTCAACAGACACACATTCATATTGGTACAGTAATAAAGTTCGACAAAATGACCTTAAACGACGCATCAGGATATAATAAACAAACAGGTGTTTTTACAGTACCGGAAGGAGGGGTATGTGTATAATTTACCAAGTATTTGAAATGTACAACATTTAATGATTTAATTACTGACTTTATAAAACTAATATACATTTTTAAATAAAGAGAATATCTAATGATTTTTAAAAAATCTGTATACGTAAATGATACAATATGTATACATGTATATCAATTGGCAATAGGTGTCTCTCCGGCACGAATGTGCACCTTTGTAACCTTCTGTAGTTTCCTACAGTGACCCAACTACATTGATTACACGCAGGTCGCTATTATGTTATATATTAATAATAATTTTAAATGTGTACAGTTTGGCCGGATTTTTGCTCCTTAATGCACTTGTTATTTGTAACCCCGCCTTAGACAAACAGTGGAGACTAGCATATTAAAATGTCCGCCCGAAAGACACAATGAGATAATAAAGTCCGGTTATTGCTTAGCTTCGGGCATTTTTGGTGCATAACTTATATCTGTTCATTAATCTATTTAGATATGTATGGAAAGAAGGATGGTAAAATATTTTAAATTTTAATTGCTGGACCTGGGAAAGAAATGACCGGTGCATAGATAACTTGTCGCTTGCCGTTTATTGACAGTGACAGTGAGCGTTTTGTGATTTGATTTGGTATTTTATTTGCAATGTAGGTTTATATGTTTTCCTACTTCATTGGTAATGGTAATAAAGTTGGCCAGACTTGGGCAGCTTTGATGCACAATGGTAAGAGGATCAATAGCGCCGTTACGGACACTTTCCACACTAACGAGGACTTACAGGGAGGCAACATGGTTGTAATCCGGATGAACATAGGGGATCGTGTGTGGGTGGAGACTTATCATCAGAATGACGCGTATTTAGATGGTCCGAACGGATTCACTTCTTTTTCTGGAATATTTTTATATGACTGATATGAATTTTGAATGACATGCAAAAAAAGATAAGTTCCCTATGAAAACCTTAAAGTTCAATGGAAGTATTTATTTTAATAAAAGAAAATAGTGTTTACAATGTTCATTGCTTTTTTCATGTCGTCCCTAAAAAATCTACACTTTGATATTAGTTACAAGTAGTCAAAACGTGTGTTTATTTTTCTTACGGGAATTTATTATGATTTACTGCAAATGCATTTAAATGTAGTCTTAACTGTTCAATTAATAGAAATGGGAAGGTTCGGAATCTTCGGGTATAAAAGCACTTGAATAAATGACAAAGGCGATTGTCAAATTCAACAGTTTGTATGAATATGCCCATGGACCGCAGTAGTAGAGCTATGTGTTTTAATACCCGCATAATATTTCAGCTTAAAATAGAGAAAAACAGAACCCCTGATGAACGTCCAAAACGGCAGGTTTGAAACAGCTACAGGCTCTGCTTGAGTAAGCCAGTTCATGGACGGTAGTGGTTATTTCAAGCTATCGCCTATGCCCCCAAGCACTGGTTTAAGCATAATTCACCATTTAAACATGAAATTGGTGAATTTTTAAATTTCGAAACATCCAAAGATGAATCCATACGGCGGTCACCATTGAACCTTCAATCTTACGCTGCCATGCTATTTAATGAGAAGCGGCATATGGTCACCAAGTAAAAGAATGCGTGTGCCCTGAACGAGCAACAATGTGCATAACTAAACAAAAATGGAATTTTAAAGGATGTAACAGAGGTTATTAAGCCTGTATATCACATATAAGACGTAATGACAAATAAATAATTTCATTTGCTGCCGCAGTAGATCGCTCCTGATCTTTTGATGTATTAAATTATTTAACAAAAACACTTTTTGGACAAAACCATACGGCACATGGTGCTTGTCTATTAGCCTGATTGCAAAACGCTTAACCTTTTCCCTCATATAGATGTGTTTTGACGGCTTTTTGGGATGTGCCCCTTCTGTTTGGGGGGTTTGAAGGGGGGCGGTAGTCCCCCTCATCGCCAAGAAAATTTTGGACATGTGACAGGCTAAAAAACAATGCAAAATAGTGATTTTTCGCAATTGTGAGACGTCCCCTGTCGCCATGGTAACAGGAAATTTACGATTGAGCATGCTGTTACAGAGGCTATGTATGGTCCAGTCAACATTTGTGCCGAGTTTCATCAGTATTTAAGCATTTTCATAGTTTCATAGTAGTTTGAACTTGTAACAGGAGGCTTTTCAATGAAAATGGCCATTTTTCACAATATGCTCATGGGGTAAAAGGTTAATAAATATCAGAGGAGTATACGACATGGCTTTATGCAAATTCTTTCAGAATACTAAATGTTTATTGATCCAAAACAAACGTCATGTCATTTTGTATATAACGTATTAATTGTTACATGGTGTTATTCTATTATCTAATCATTAAACCTTTATATAATTTCATTCTATCATAATTTTTGTACCAAATTATAAATAAATAAATCGTATATTATCATAATACTTGAACAACTATGATTACATTAGAACAGAAAATGTTTCCGTTTGACCTTTTTCCCTTTTACTGGTCAATAATGTCACGATTTTTCAAAAATCTGTCACATGGGATGAATATGAAAATGAATAAATATAAATGTAAATATATATCAATCTCCTAACCAGCTTATATAGCATTTGGTTATAAATACATTTGTGTATATTAAATGCTCAACCGGCAGTTTTTGTTAACCTTATGCCAAACTGATACATTTTCATTTTTCAGTAATTTTCCCTCCTGTATTCGCTGACGTTCTGTCATTGACTTATTGTCCAGCCAAATGTTATTGAAATGCTTAAAATATCTTTGTACTACCGGTCACAGGCATAGATTTCCTTATCAGTTCAAAGTTTATGTACAATTTTGAACTTTATCATTCCGTTTGTATTTTCGTAAGAAACAAGACGATGACAATGCTCAGTATTGTTTTATCTCTGGTATTAATATTTAATATTAATGGAATAACTCCATCTTTGGCGTCAGAAACATCTAACAGTGAGATTAATGAACTAAAGAGGTATGTGGAGGAATTGAAACAAACGTGTGACACACGTTACAAAGAACTCGAAGGAAAGTTTTATGCACACGGTGAGGACATATTTTTTTACAGAAAAAGTAAAAGTACTGAAATTACAATAAAACAACAAACACGTTAAGATAAAAAAGAATAAAATAGAACTCACAAACAACAACAAATTGAAGCAACCAAAGAGAAATAAATAAATAAATAAATAAAAAAATACACACACATCCCACCAAAGGATAACAACAAACCACACACTCAAGATCAAGAAGCATTCATGGTAATGTTTCCTTTGACTTCGAGAGAAAATGGTAGATGTTATACTTTGATCAAGATACCTAAATAAAGTGGTAATTTGCACTCGGCCAGTTATTTTATCCTGTCAGTTAAGGCATGTGTTGAAGTCGAGACTCTGTTTCTACCTGCAAGTAATGAAGCATATATGTTGATGTACCTAGGGTATTTCAAAATACCATTAAATATCATATGTTATGAAATGAAGAAAAATAATAGATAGAGAACATAAAACGGCAAATTAAAGAATTGTTGCAGACTCGATTTGATTGATGGTACTGCAAGCCACATCCACGCCCCTAGCACCGACTATAAGTATAATTTAACATCAAATATAAATTGGTTTGAACCACTCTTTGGAAAATTTACTACTTACTAACCGCCTTAATGTCACTGTATACGGAAACATCTTTGTAATGTTAAAAATTATAGCAATCTTGTATCAATACACGCCATTTAACCTTTTTTAGAACACAAACTTATATCCTATAATTGACTAATTGCAACGATTCTTAAAACAATTGTGGGCTGAACAAAATATGCATTTAAAGTGGCACTATCCCTATTCGAGTGTAAATGGTGGGCGTACAGGTCAAGGTCAAAATAATTTTGGATTTTGCCATAAATGTTTTCAATTTTATATTCTTTTTTATGTGTATAATCAATTACCCTCGTGACTCACAGAAAATTCTATAAATTATTGTCATTCGGAATGTAACATTGACGTTCCACTGATAAAAAGAATGGGGCAGTTTTTTTTGTATTTTAGGCATTTGTTATATTTTTTCCTTAACCTTTTTCGTTGATAATAAATCTTTTTAAATACATAACCATTTTTGTCTCAACTCAATGGCACGACAAGCCTGATATCAATTAAAAATAACATACAGATGCCATTTTAACCATGCTATATGTTCCACGTTCATTTTAGTTTCGAGACGTTCGATTTCCGGTGGCATCGCATTCTCGGCACAATTGTCTATCCATCTCTCAAACATACCTATAGGTACAACAATTAATTTCGACAAGGTGCATGTAAATGATGGCGCAGCATACAACAACAAAACTGGCGTTTTTATCGCACCGGAAACAGGGGTAAGTGGAGGACAAATAGGGCAAGAGTAGTGCATAAGATCCTTAATACAGAGGTCGTGGGTTCTCATCCCACCAATAATGAGATTCTCTTTCACTTTTATAATTATTGGTTTTGACAGTAAACTTGGAGCAGTCATTTTTGTGACGTTTAAACATTACCACGCCCCTAAAATGAAAAAAAAACTGTATGAGAAAACGAAAAAGAAAATCATGAACCTGTCTTATAAAATGCTTAATTAAACAGCATTTCATGTCCAAACGTCAAGTTTTGCAAACGATTGTTCCAGGGGTGTATAATTGCCTCAGTAACCTTATTACGAAATTGTAATATTAATTGTGATTAAAGAACGGCTTCATGATACAATATGTTACCTTGTAAAAAGATACCTTACATGATCCAAATCCTGTAGAAAAACGATGGATTCAAACGCGATATTGATAATTCTATCAATTATACATTAAATTCTATTGCGTTCGAATCCCTCAGGGACTTCAGATTCTTTCATGTGTGGAAGCTATCCAGCTAGCTTACGAAACTTCGGTGGGTTTACTCAGGTGCACTTGTTTGTCTGAAATAATTCACGGAAAGGCAGCCAGAAAAGGTTGATAGTCAACGTAGGCCATTATACTGTGTTGGCGCGACGTAACAAAAACCAAACAGACATACCTACAAACAAACAAACTAGATGTTCGTTTTCATTTCATTTCTCTATATTGTACAATGCATACAGTAATTTGAGTAATAAATGGTGTGTAAAGAAATACAATATAATTTGATATAAAACTGTGTATACAAAAAATCATACATTTGCAAAGCACTTTATGAATTTTTCCTATGGTATTATTTCTAAAAGGCAAAGTTGACCCTGCAGTCTGCACAAAGGTTTAATGATAAAGAGATAAGATAAGTAACATAACAGAAATGAGTAAGTGTCAAATACTTCTTAAAGCGAACAATGCTAAGTACTTTCGTCTTCATTGACCAATTTTCTGTTTGTAAACCCTGTATGGCCTCAAACCTAAGCATCTTTTTGGCATTGATAATTTCTGTTTAAACCAAAACTAATGAATGAGTTTTAAGAACCTCAAATCTTGGCACTGCGGCCTTCATTTTACATTTGTAAATGTACGGTTTTTTAATGAAAATAATATATTATTCTCTGAAACTGTGAAATAGGGACAGCCGGAAATGACAGATTGCTCTACAATGACAATATCCATTTGGAATTTTGTTTGTTAACCATACCTGTAAGTTCGTTATAAATACATTGACTATGTGATTCTGTCACATCCCAAAATAAATTCTTTATTGTTTCTAGGTAGGCATTACAAACAGAACAGTTGTCGCTGTCACTAACATTTATCTTTTTCAGTTATACATTAGTACCGTATTTACGATGCCTTATTCTGCATTGAAACCAAGAGAAGTTTTTGATCCTTAGTCACTTTAAAGGGTAGAGAGTAGATACTTATCCAGTTCTAGATGTTCGGTCTTGATACTCGAGAGATATCGAGTTAGTTCTGGCATTTATCTTATTATTCTTAATATGTATATATTGTTTTTATTATATTTAATGATTTAATTTCTAATATCTACTTCAGGTGTACATGTTCGCGTACTTCATAGGTCACGGTAGGACGGCTGGTCAGGCTTGGGTGACCTTGAAACACAACGGTCAGAAGATCAACAGTGCTGTCACAGATACGTTTCACTTAAACGAGGATTTACAAGGGGGTAACATGGCAATTTTAAAACTCGATGTCGGTGATCGAGTTTGGATCGAGTCTTTCCATTCCAATAACGCATATTTAGATGGTCCAAATGCATTCTCGTCATTCACTGGCCTCTACTTGTATGCGTAAAGAGAATAAAATGGAAAAAATGCTTTATTGTTACATATTTATTTATTTTTAGTCAGTATTTATTTTGTCTTTTTCTTACAGTACGACAGAAAGCAACACATGCAAGGGATAACCTTACAAAATATAGATTAAACTAAATCCTTAACAAACGCCCAAAATTGCAAAATTGATCACGTCCTATATAGCATGTACATTGTACAATATATAGTTAAAATAAATTCCTCGTCTTTGATATGGTAAAGTGTCTAATGGAGTTGTAACAGAAATGTTTCGGTGCAAAATATAATTTAGGGGCTCGTTAGTTTCAATACATTTTGTATAAAGAATGTATATCGCTGAAGCCGGTGCAATGGGCGTGAGAGATTTGCTCTCTCAGCTGTCTAATTAACTGATTGAATAAAACCGAGTCTGCGTGGTCCAACTTTTGTTTTGTTGTCGTTGTTTTTATCGTCACTGCCGTCAAATGATTTTCTTTGTCCATTTATCCAATATCTGAGGTCAACAGCCCTGAACCAGTAAAATATATGTTCAAAATTGAAATTAAGTTAGACTGTATATCAAGCGACAAACGCAAATCAACATCCATTAAACATGAACAAAGCATGACTTTCAACTATATATTTTTGAATTGAAGAAACACAACAACAAGAAAACAACAAACAATAAAAGAGAATAAAATGCCAGTTATGAGTTTTTTAAATGTGTTCTTAGGCATGAAGCTTTTTTATATTAAAATACTTCATCTTGCAAATATTTAAGGTCGCTTAATAAGGTAATAAATTATAGAGTGAAATCTCTCGGGAGGGGATCGCATTATACAGATGTTTTGACGGAAAAGTATACTTTTCATAGCTCTATGACTAGTTTACTAAAATTTGGGTTGAATCAGAACAGTCTTAATTTCATATGTGGCATAACTAAGATAAACACCTGGCGGTCATGATTATTTACTATCATTTGTTTTGTTGTCTAATAGCGGCATCAGTTTATCTTTCTTAGAGGCGTGAATAGATATCTACCTTTAAGTCTAAACTTGTTAAATGGTTTTACAAGTTTAGAAAGAGAAAAATGAAAATAGAAACGTCATGCAAAAGTTTGTTATAAGTCCCAAATAAGCGCAAAATGCTATTATTCTATATCTCTTAAACATAATTTTTCGATGCTCTGTTCCAATATCCAAAACATTATTTATTTAGCGAAACCGTATTTTAAAAAAAATAAATTATATTCATTCCAGTCTTTTTATTCATCCCGTGGAAGCCAAAATACCGCTTCATTCACATTTTGCTACTCTCTGCTTCTTATTTATTTTATAGCGCTTCTTTCTTCAATATATTGTTATCTATAACATGTTTTAAATAGATGATGAAAACAATATAATACACCGCATTTGTCCGCTTTAAATTGTTGAAAAGCTCTCCAAAGCTGGCAATATCATATTTTATATACTCGACATTTTAGAATAAATATTACTTGACTGGACATGCACTTATTTTGTATTCTAAAGTTATACCTGTAAATGAAGTTCACTGTTGCTGCTAAGGGTGCAGAATTTTATCAAAATAAATTCATATGAATGAATGAATGAATGAATGAATGAATGAATGAATTAGATTTTTACAATCATTATTCTCCCAGTGCAGATAATTTGAAATATAGATTTTCCCTTTCCCTTTATTCTTTATAAAAATAAAATAAATTTAATATCGTTATGGTTAGAATAAAAACATAAAATTAATGGTTTAAATAAAAATGTAAGATAAATTGTTAAAATAAATTCATATAATAAAGGGTTTAAATGAAAATATAGAATGAAAGGTTTCAATAAAAATATAGAATAAAGGGTTTGAATAAAATTATTAAAAAAAAGAATTTTCAATAAAAATATAGAATAGAGTGTTTAAATAAAATATAGAATAGAGTGTTTAAATAAAATATAGAATAAAGGGTTTAAAAATATAAAAAAAATCGACAATAAATGGTTTTAATAAAAATATAAACTAAATGGTTTAAATAAAAATAAAGAATTAAGTGTTTAGAACAACAAATAAAATAAAGGAAAACAAAGATATATAATAAATGGTTTAAATAAAAGTATAAAATAAAGGGTTTAGATAAAAATATAGAATAAAGGTATAAAAACAAAAGGTTTCAAAACAGAACAAGGAAGGTATGGTGCAATCCCATTTATTCAAAACATTGTTCTTAAAATAACATAGCTTATCTGCACGGGTCTTAAAATGGACTTTGACTATGTGAAACGTGACTAGGTCAATCCAAACAAGAGATAAGGACAAAGTGAAAACATGACCAATATTCACATTTTATGATTTATCATGAATAAATAAGATCTCAATGGTTCCCAATGAATATTAAGGTAAGAAAGAATAGAGTTTGTTCTAAATTGGTCTCAATATAAAAATATTCACAGTCAAAAGGACATTTACATATTTACATAGTAGGAATTTATTGATGTTTAATTGTATTGAAAACGAATACAGAATTTTCCTCTATAATGCTATAAATTTATATTTTGAATTAAGACGAAAAATCTAATTCTTAACAACACGGGTTAATAATAAAAAGGTAGGTAGAAAAGATTTTGTTAACATGAGATTAAGTTTTTGTAAACATAAAATATTTAAACAATGTAAATATTACATTTTTACAATCTCAAGTATCACGGAAGGCACTTGAGCGGCAATATGGAATGCACAATTTACACATTTTAAAATATTTTTAGCTTTTTAATTTAAAGAATTTTTGCCACGCATTTTGCAGAAGTTTGTCGCATAAGGGTTAAATTGAAGTCTAATAATAATGGATTACACACTGCGACTCCGTACATGCTTGCTTTAGTTACACACATTTCAGGTCGACAAGTATTTTGGGTATTTTATCGGCACAGTGTGGTAACTGATTATTTGTTATTCTATTTTTACAGATATTAATACACAGAAAAAAGTGGCCACTCTATGTAAGTCTGAGGCTAACTGTTTGATAGAAATGCAAGACAATATATGGCGATCGATTGAAAAACAATTTATGAATAACATATAGCAAAATGTATGGTCACAATTACCAAGAAAATAAAAAGTTCAGGCTAAATTTCAACTTCTTCCCAAAAACATAAAAGTCACAAAATGACATCTTTTAATTCACATCTTTGTTAATACCGTGTGTACCAGTCTCTTTATTCAAGTACAGTTCCGCAATGGACTCTCATTTATATAAATTATATCTTGATAACTCTCTTTGATATTTGGTTCAAACTTGATTGGCTTACAATGCCAAATCATTCAAATTGAAGGGTGGCTGACGGGCTTTGACTTTGCGCTTGAACAAGTCCAACCAATTTTCAATCGGATTTGAGCATGTACGTTTGGCTGGCAAAGAAAGGACACGGATACGGTTCTGAGCCAACGTGATTAACACTTCGAGGCCTTTTCCCGTTTCTCCTTGGGAACGGACAACGCCGCTCCTTTCAATGTCGCTAGGCCGACAGAAGTCATGTTGGCATTTCTATTAAACAGTAAGCCTCAAACTTGCCGTTTAGGACCTTTGTTCTGTGTATATTCGCGCAATTTTATCATTCAATTTTTCAGCCAAAGGCGGTCTAAAATCAATCCGACTTCCTGTAAAATTTTCGTTAATCTGCAATTAAGGTATTAATTTTTGTAACTTCGATCATTTTTTTTTCATTCGAAAATGGACTAGTCTCCCAATTGTTTCCTAATTCATGTGTTGGTAGGTAATACACGTTTAATGTCTCAATAAGACAAACAAAAGGGAGACAATAAAGTTGAATTTAAAAAAATGAAAATAAACTATAAAACGAAACCGGAATTAGCAGAAATCAAGTTCCACCTCAAATTTAGTACTTCATATATACGATTACCTCGTTTACAATTCTCAGAGTTTTTTGACCAATCGTCGAGAATTTTTTTGACAATTTTCAACATTAATGTATTTCTATCAATTGTTCATTCATTAATATGTCATATTGTCTACGACCTTCTTTTTTTTCTTTATTGCCGATTTCTGTTAAGTGCTGTTGCACCGCTTAATTCGAAAGCACAATACGTACATATAAAGAAGAAATGTCTGGCAAAATATTTGACCATTATTTTCTCTTAAAAGATAACTTCAATACTATTATTTTCATTTCTGGCAGATGACTGTCTTATTCCTGTACTTGGTTGTGATAGTGTCGGTTAAAGGATCTCATTTCAGTCATGACGGTTCATCTCACTTGAGCATACAGGATTACAGTAAGTGGACATGACAGAAAGCGGTAACCTACTAGTATAGATGGGATGGACGGTAGTTTTGCATTTACTGATACCGTACATGAACAAGCTCAATCAAACCGAATCTGCAACATTTTCAATTTTGCCGTTTTAGACTTTCTTTTGGGATTCTTTTTCTTTATTTTGTACTTTATCTACTGTCCGTAAACCTACGGTCATCGGTTCGAGGCATGCTCCAGTTTTCTTATAACACTTAAGTACTTGTTAGTTCAACAGTGATGAATTAAAATTGAAAAATCATGTTCAATGTCGATCTTATACAAATACGTTTTAACGTGTAATTTAACTTAATATACACCCCGGAGCTCATCAAATTCGCCTGAATCGCGATGACGACGTTGTGTCTCGACCTGATTTCAACTGTCGTTCTTGGTTGGGTTCTACGTCGAACCAACACATTAGAGGTCACATGTCCATTTTCCTGCTTTAAAGGTGGGGGAAAACCTCAGGTGCTCCTCATTGCATTATGTTAGACATTCACGGGCATTTGAGTCGAACCAGCGACGGTCTATTACTAGCTGAATAGCTTCCTTACATGACGGGATTCGAACACACAGCGGTAAGGGGAAAGACGTTTAATGTATGTCAACGACCTTAGTCACTCGACTGTCAGTTGAGCAGACTTATATGCGTGCCTGTTAAGGCAGTGACAAAATAAATATAAGTATACTGTTAATTGAGTGTAATTTACTTGTCTAGATAAATATTGTTTATTAACTGTAAGTAAATTAACAGAAAGGAAAGAAATACAGAAATCAAATTGTTTCTATTAAAATAATTGTGTCACAAAGATTTTGCTGATATTGTTTTCCATTTTAATTTCTTTTAAAGTTTTTGAATGAAAGGTCATTTACACGTGCTTAACAACATTGATTTCTATTATTATTTTTGTTAATGGAATGATTTGATAAGTGATCAGAGTATATATGTAAATATATGATCTCATGTCGCACCTGCCAGAACGATATTGATATTATTTAACTAATCCCAACACCTTTGTTTGTAGAGTATGGAAGCAAAGCCGAATTTGAGAACGCATTCAATAAGTGGATACAGACCAAAATAGATATTTTTAGTTTGACGGATTTGATTGACGTGTTATTAGTTAGATTGGGTGTAAACAATGTGGTGAGATGTGAAAACACAGACGAACACCCAATGTTGGAGGCTGTAAGACATACGATTATCCAATTATCATAATTGTTATACAAAATTTATTTCATTTGAAATGGCATCAAATCTATCAAGGTCTAGTGAACTTCACATATTCATTGAAATTTTGGCCTTATCTACCGTATATCAAACATCTGAAGTGAATAAAGAACAAAAAAATAATATAAAAAAATATTTAAAGCTGATTAGATATTTGGCATTTAACTGCAAACTATATTAAATTATTCAGTTTTATCCAGCACCGGATTTCACATTTTGTTTCGTATTATAAATCCCTATTATGTAAAACAATTATTAGTATGAGTTAAGTTCTCATTTTGAAATACTACCTAGAAAATATTGATACATGTCACCGAACATGTATATTGCAATATCTTCTTTTCAATTCAAGATCAGAAACACTAGCAGAAATTCAAATCTGACGGACTTACTCAACAATGATCAGCTTAGAAACGATCTGTTTCTGCCCATTATATCAGTTGCAGCGATGTCGCCATTTGAATTCAACCCATGCTGCTCTGAAAAGCTGCGGGAAGAGTGTATCAGGGCAAAGGAAAAGTTTGATAGAATGTCTCTGCGTCACATTTATGGATCTGTTGAGGGAAAATACAATAGATTAGCTGTTCCTAGACATTTTGACAAGATTAAACTTCTGGCGTATGATTCAGAGACATTTACAAACAGATTTATGGTGAGAGTCACAACTTTGTTTGCCCACTTCGTAATTTATTTCCCGTAGCAGGATACGCATATGATAAATAACACTGTTGAAGACTTACCCAAAATAAACGCTGTGGATATTAGCTCTTTCACTCTTTACTTTGTGATAAAATTTAAGAAATAAAATGGAAGTAACTAGATTTACTTCTTCAGTATCACAAAGATTGATATCTAACAATCAACTACAATTTTCTTGAAATAAATATAACAAAATTATAATTTTCCAAAAGTTTTAATGACGCATTCTTAAATATAATTCAGGATGCTGAACTTATTCACTGCAAAAATCGTGTTTTTCGTTTTACTTAAATATTACCTTATTTGCATATTGAAATGATCTGTGACATTATTTTAACACTAGTTTACTTTTTTATATTTGCAATATTGAAATTGTGTGTTTAAAAGTATGTAATATTATGTTTTGGAAAGTAAAAGCTATAACAATACAGTGAATAACAATAAGTAGGATTTTGAACCTTTTGCACTTAATTGTATTATATTTTGCAGTGCGTCAACGAATTCTCTCTGGAAAGAACTGTGCATATTGATCATGGCGATAGAAATAACGAGGAGAATAGAAGAAATATTGGGTTATCAGCGCTCATGTTATACATTTTACAAGGTAAGTCGTGAATTATGTAAACAAACAAACAAATTTTAAATGTCATAAAAATTCACTAGACGCAGCGTTAGAAGAAAAAAAGCTTTTATTCTTGTCACAATGTTATGAGCACGATGCTAGTAATTTTCGTACACAGCTAGTAGTTTTGTTGAAGCTGTGAATGGCACACCCAGATCAAGAAAATAAGAAAATCTTTCATAAATGATGTATCTTTTCCAACTTTGAATAAGTTATAATACATTATGCCATCAGGAATTAAAGTATTACAATTTTGTAAATTACTCGGTAATGCATCCGCGTTAAAGATACTGTATGTTGTTATTAAAGTTGTTACCACACTTAAGTGAAATTTTATATATGTATATAATTATGCTTCTTAAACAATTTTCAAACATCGAATAATATGTTTCTAATTACTTCCCTTTATTAACATGAAATGCAAATTTGGTTATATCTTGACGAATGATGCTTTTTTGAACTTACAATATTGATAAATCTTCATTTGAGCATTATATTTCTTTTATAAAGCCATAAAAAAGAGTTACAGGATCTTTAAGATCTAATGTTATAGAATCAATGCAAGAATTGTAGTTTTGACATGTTTCTGCATTTCATTTAAACATTGCATTTTTGTGTGTGTATTTTAAGTGACTTATATGTTTTGTATGTATTGCCAAAGGCAATGTTTTGCCGGACAAAAATGCAATAACATTTGAATTGGAAAAAAGTTTTGAATGCCAACAAAATACATTAATTTTGAAGATATTTAAAACAGGTAAAAATATTGCACGTAAACGTGTTAATAACGTTTGGTCATTTTTCAGGATATAATTTGGTCAGTAAAAACGAAATATGTCCAGGCACCCATCTTCAAGCGATATACACACACTATCGTTTAAGAGACAATTTGCAAGCAACACATGGTAAGTAAACCCCTAAAACCTGTAGAAAATAATAAGTAGTTAAAATAACTTATGTAATGTAAGATCAAATATACTTTAAAACTATATAATAATGCTTAATGATATCAATCAGATTTTTATTATTTTTTAATTATATCGTTGTTAGAATCAGTATAATTTATTCAACTACATGTCTTATTCTGTGGTATCAATATCATTTTTATCATAAATATGATCCTTGTACAGGTTTGACCTCAATGATCAGTGATTTAAAATGCGATGCATCGAAAGAAAACCATCAACGTGAAACTCCCTCATACAGACAAAATTCACATTCCCTGTCTGAAATATATAGTGGAATTGGCTCGGCAGACTTTATTAAAAGATATGTTTATTCATCTGGCCAACGGAACCAATTTCACGATATCGGGGATAATGGACACCCGCCTTTACTCCCGCCTTTTTCACGAACACCAAACTTGAACCCAGGATTTCTTAACTATGACTGGAATAACAAAGGAAGCGAGTTCGTAAATAGACAGGTGTGCTTTTCCTTGTTGCCTGTTTGAAGCCAGTATCTCCTTGTGTATAAAAGATGCCTTCAAATAGCCCTTGCTTTTTCTTTTATATTGTTCTTAGTTACGTATTAAAACCTATTAAAACAATACTGTTATTGTAGAACGTATTTTGTAATTGCATTCAAATTTCTTTAAAGGTGAACAACAGATTAACTTCAAAATTTGTTCAATGAAATGTCAAAATATAATACAATATATAACATTTCTAAACATTTAATGCTATGCTAAAAATCAAAAAAATTATAATTGTGTTTAGGTTGAAATGTGTCTTCAGCTCTCTCTCTCACCCCCATATTTACATGAACATGTATTTTACAATACGTTTTATGTTTCAGTGTTTCGATGAACGGTCTCTTCTCAGAGCGTTTAATGTTGAGAATACCATTGGAGGTGTCAACATATCCATGTCTGTGTTCCTAGACATGTGCCCCGTGTTACTTTATAAAGCATTGTTTAGACCTTGTCATCACCACAGTCATTCAGCACACCGTCAGCACACTACAGTGTCCACTGTCCGAACGTCTTCCGACTCTTCAACAGACATATCTCTGGCATCAAATATGACTTCAGTGTTAAACAATACTATAGAGGAATCAAGCTCAACCCCTCGATACAAAAGTATGTTTTCTACGTATATCAACATTGCTTTTTTCGCTTTCGATATAAATGAATTTCTTTTTATTATTTAATTTCTGTTTAAGACGGATCAACAAGGTAAAGATCATAATATGATTAGTTTCGAGTTTTACATGTTAAGGAAGACCCCAGGTACCCCATTTGTGCATTATTTTCAGGCACGACTAGAGACCTTTGTAGAACTACCGATCTTTCATTCTCCAGCTCGAACGTTTCCTCAGATGAAGTTTCCCCGCGGTGATTTGAAATTTTAACTTTCACCATCCAGCCACGGAGCATTGTATGACCTTATTACCCTTTCTGGATTTGAATAGGTCTATTGTTGTATTTGATATATAAAACGGAATTTCAAGAGCAAATTTTTTCATTTGTTTTGTTTAGGCTACCTGTACGGATCGTTATCAGTGCTTGTCATAAGTCTTTGTAGCATTGTCGGAGCAGGCTTCATGAAGCTATCCAGGGCAGACGTGAAAATATACATGATGGGGTCTATGCTATCACTTGCTGTTGGGTGTCTTGTCGCAGACGCCGCGCTTCATTTACTGCCTGAGGTAACTCAATTTATATGTTGGTACGTTAACAAATGTACATGTACTTATCTCACGGAAAAGTAAACAAAATCGACCGTTTCTTTGAGCAATAAGGGCTTTAGGTCATTTGTGTCCTCTTTTATTTGAATTATTGTGTATTTGAAAGAAAATGATAGAGATGTATTCAGATTTAAAAGAACAATGTAAGGAATTTAAAAGTTTTTGTCTGTACCTAAAATCTGGAAAGTGCTGAAATCTTCAGAGCAATGAATAGAAAAATAAATGTTAACTTAAAATTGGTTTGGTTGAGTATGTTTATGAGAAATTTTAACTTGGAAATTGGAAAGTTTGACCTTTTTTAAGAGGTATAATAATTATAGCCGTCAATATGTTGTAGAGTCAGATCTAGCTACTCGACTTTTGTGTTTGGTTTTAAGGTACACCAGCAGAATTTTTGTCATATGGCGTCGAAACATAATTGTTTGTTACCATCAGGTGTTACAAACTTTAAGCTATAACAGGGGTCAAAACCATCCCACCTGCCGTAGCTAAAACATGTATAGACTCCAGTTATTCAAACCTATTTAGTCGCCTCTTACGATCATGAAGGGATAAAGTGGCTGAAATTCTGATGCCTCAACCATTACAGACACAAGAGGGTTGGAGGGGATAAATTAGACCATGCAATATAATATTGTTTGCTAAATTTCATCTTTCTTAAAGAAAACAGAAGACAAAAATAAAAATTGTCAGTAATGGACAACTAGATACTAAAGGTGCTGATTGGGGTTTGAACTCTTGCGAAAGAATTAGTTTATTACAAACATTCAGAAGAGTTAGGGTGGCAGATAGAGAGATTAATGATAAATATATATACAGGTTATTATGGGAGAAGGTGACATGGACGAGGATGATGATGAGCTGATGCCTGGACATCTGAGGAAACTATGTGCGTTCCTGGCCAGCATATACGCGTTCTTTGTTCTTGAGTTGTTACTTTCTATTCGACATACGCATAGCCACGCTATCAATGTTGGGAATGAACAAATAAAGTCGGTAAGTACTTTCAGCTTTATCAAATGAGTTATCTAATGTTAAAATCATGATAAGATAATATATATTTCGCCACAATGTATTGTTATATCAAAACATGGAGCAAAGCAAACAAAACAGAACATAAGCTCAATCACGGTGGCATGCACATCAACAAACACAAAAAGAGCAAATCGTAATTTCCACTGTGATCGCTAAGGCATGGTAACATGAACTAGAGAAGTAATGATAAAACTTGTCGGGAATTATCACAGAAATCTAAAACAAAATGATGCATTATATTTACAATATTTTTGATTGCATAACCATTGCCACAATGTAACTTGCTTGTAGGCTTAGGATAAAGACTCATTTAAGTTATCTAAAACAATCATTTTAAATGCAAGTTAAGATTAAGTTTGAGTAGCAGATTATAATTATGGCAGTGAACAAAGTTTAAAAGCAACCTGGTTTTGTTTCAAAACATTTGGACTGAAAATATCTAAACAATTGCTTTAAGACTCCATCTTTCCTAAAAATATCCATAGACAAATGGGCCGCGTCATGACAAAACCAATATAATGCGTTTCCGACCAGCATGGATCCAGACCAGCCTGCACATCCGCGCAGTCTGATCAGGATCCATGATGATCGCTTACAAACTCTTTTACAAGTAGAGAAACTGATAGCGAACAACATGGATCCTGATCAGACTGCGCGGATGCGCAGGCTGGTCTCGATCCATGCTGGTCGCAAACCCATTAAGTTGGTTTTGTCATCACTCGGCTCAAATAACTTACAATGGATTGGTTTTTTATTGTTTAATTAAGGGTTTGAATATGTATCCCTTTTAATTAAGAGTAGATTTACCAATTCGAAGACAAAATCATTTGTCTTAAACGGAACTCAATTAAGAAATATTTTGTTTGTAAAATATGCCTTGCAAAATTATAATTAATGCTCATTCATTCCACCGACATAGTGTTAAGTAAAGTTTGAAAAATCAAGTTTTCTTTAAAAGGGATTCCACTGAGGGCTTTTGACATAACGGGCCTTGACATTATATTTTGGTAATGATCCATTTGATGTAAGTCTTAACCAATACTTTGTGTGCAAAATTTCAGATCATTCGCTCAACAAAAATTTAACAGTATTGCAACGCTTTTACACAAATAGTTCAAATAGGGCTACGGATATTACAAAAATTACAAAAAAAACACTTATCGATGTATTGTTTATGTATCTTTTGTTATTTGTCTTGTTCAGATTTCCGTGAAATACGACAAGGAGGATGATACCATTCGAGAAACAAACTTGAACCTAGTAAGGGAATCTTTTTATAGTAGCATTCATTCTTAATAACTATTATTGTTTCTGGAACAGGTGATAAAAACTTTGGCATTTTGGCATCTTAACCAGTCTTTGAGTCTTAACCAATAACTTGTGTGCAAAATTACAGATCATTCGCTCAACAAAAATTGAAAAGCATTGCCACGCTTTTTACACAAATAGCTCAAATAGGGCTACGGATATTACAAAAAAATTACAAAAATACAATTATCAATTTGTTTCCGAGAATATTTCTAAATAGTTTTTGTTTATCTTTCTGTCGTAAAGTTTCCCACTTGATCCGTGTAAAATAATCAAATGTTATGTTTATATGCCTTTTAACCTCAGTGGAATTCCCCCTTAAAGCATTTGACGAAGAAGTTATTTTAAATGGTTATGTCATTATAACTAAAGGAGAGTTGACAAATCAAGGAAGGAAGGAAAATAATCAAAAACTGGTATGTTGTTAAAGACGGGGATGTAAAGCTGTCGTAGTTACTCTTTACTACACAGAGCAGACTGTCGGAAACAGTTACGCTTGAAACGTGTCTTCTGTTAGTGCACATCATTTACAATACTGATAATACCGGAATTCATTTAAGATTTCCTCCTTAAAAATTGTATTGTTTATGTATCTTTTGTTATTTGTCTTATTCAGATTTCCGTGAAATACGGCAAGGAGGATGATACCATTCGAGAAACAAACTTGAACCTAGTAAGGGAATCTTTTTATATTAGCATTAATTCTTAATAATTATTATTATTTCTGGAACAAGTGATAAAAAATTTGGCATTTTGGCATCTTTTTAAAGTAGCATTAATTCTTATTAATTATCATTTGTTCCTGGAACAATTGATAAAAAATTTGGAATTGTGACAGAGGTAATGATGCTGATGATGATGACAATATAATCATAATAATGATAAAAATAATTATAATTATCAAAATTTTAACCAGTATAATAAAAATAATATTGATACTATATTTAAATATGACTGTTTTTAAATTGTGCTACCTTTTCGATACATAACTGCATGTTCAGTGCTGCATTTTATAGTTGTAAAATGTCTAATATAATCTCAATCAATTAATTTTTTTGTATAGAGTTTAAAAAATATGAATTTCTGAGGCATAATGTGTATTTATGTAAAACACGTTATAACTCATAGAGTATTTATTAAGTCTGAACGTCAAAGTATTTGCTTTGAACTGAGAAGAACGCAATATTGTTTTAATATGATTAGTTGTATACTGTTCAAACAGATGTATGCATATGTATATGTAAATTTTCAGAATAATGTGTCGATAAAAAATAATATTCCAAAGACACTAAACATAGACCAAGAAAATAACACTCACAACACTAACATACAAGCCACAAACAATGATCAACAAACTGACTCAACCACCCAAGTGCTTGAACCAGGGTTATCCAATCCAATTCGTATCCCGCCTCCTGAATCAACTAGACAATTGTTAGAGCAGCGGTGTTCAAGCATAAGTGATAGAATAAGCATTCATGATGCACAGTCTGGTGAGTGTCGTTTTTCTTTCACCTGCTAGAACCGAAAGTGAATAAACTTTGTCACCAACATAAACATAGAGTAATGCTCAACCGTGCCAGATTTTATACTGTCGGCTGACTAACTCATCAATGTCATTTTTAAATCCCCAAAATTGATAACAAATCCATGTAAGAATTCATGAAGTCATTGATTAATAATTATAATATGACTACTATTATTAAATCTTTTTTGGGGGGTTTGGGTTTTTCGTCGCATCAACACAGTAGAGGTCATTTTAGCGACTTTCTAGCTTTAACTGTGGAGGAAGACCTGCAGTGCCTCTTCATGAATTATTTTTGGCACGAGCGGGTATGTGAGTAGAACCACCGGAGTTTCGTTTTCATATATCTGTAGATTCCAAATGTTGTTTTAAACGAATACATTCCTTTGAAATAACAACTAATGTCACTTTAGATGGAACGTCTCTTTCATTTAACATTTATATTTTTTAACAATTTTTATTAATATGTTTAATATCCACAATATCATTTTCAGTCCGGATTTCTTTGTTATTGTGCTCTTATTAAGATGAATGAATTTTATTACACTGCTTGCATTTTCCGTCCATTGGACGATATGATTGATATGTATTGCTCTCCTTTGCCATTTGATTTTAAATATATGATATTTACAAAAGATAATCGGCTGTAGTGAAACAGGGTTTAATCGTTCCTAGGAACATGTCCGGTAAATACCGGAGAAAATATGGTAAATAGTATCCAAATAAACCGGAAGTCAAGGCGAAAACAAACAGCCTACGGCAGAAAAAAATAATCGATATTCAACGACCATGTGTAGTATGCATACTTCTATATCCAACACAGGCTTAATGAATTCCTAAATAATGTTTCGACGTCTGTAATTTTGTAATTTGTAATTTAATGATGTAATAAGTAGCTGTGCTGACATTACTGTGATTATTCAAATTTTCATTTCATATTATTAGAAACTTTTTTCAGGGGTTAAGGCACTGGCTTGGATGATTATTATCGGGGATGGAATTCACAATTTTGCTGACGGACTTGCAGTAGGAGCTGCATTTTCATTAAATTTTTCAAAGGGTATTTCTACATCAATAACAGTACTCTGCCACGAGCTGCCACATGAGCTAGGTACTGTTCAGTTTCCAAAGATACCAGATAATAAAGTACATTATTCTACTGTCCACTATATTTTTGGGTTGAAGTGCATTTTGCTATTGAATGTAGGTCAGGTTCAATAATTATTTAATCTTCTCGCATTGTCTTTTGTCTAACTTAAACGTACAACAACTACAAATGTATATATTTCAGTATTCACGATTAAAAATGTAAAAGCAGACGAATCAGTTCCAATGCGTAACGGCCACCAGGGCATATTTCGTTGGTTAGCTGTTTTAATTATTTTTGCTGCACTGGCTATTACGCGACGCAATCAGACCAATGCATAGGTCACATTGCGTATTTTTTACATTTAGATACTTACAAATGTAAGGGCTATGTGTGATAAAACGCCAACGTTGCACGGGCATCTGACTGCCAAGTCCTTGACCTGAAGCCTTTGAAGTGGAGCATCTAAGCACTTGTAGCTACAACCTACAAATCTGTGACAAAATCGAGACATATTGTTTTTCGAGCGTTATGGAAATGTTACCGAAAAATAAGCATCAGAATGGACCTGTTGTTATAACATGAATCAATTTCAATGTAAAAAAAACTTATTATCATGATGACAGGCTTTCTACTAGTGGTAGGAGATCATTATTTCTATTTTGTAAAAGAAATATATAGCATTACTACTGCTGAATGTTTACAGGAGACTTTGCTATACTCGTGTCAACTGGGATGTCAATCAAGAGAGCAATGGTGTTAAACTTTGTGTCCAGTCTGACAGCATTTGCTGGACTGTACTTGGGATTGTCTCTCGGAGAGCAAGTCGAGGCCTCTCAGTGGATATTCGCTGTCGGCGCCGGAATGTTTTTATACGTTGCCCTGACTGATCTGGTAAAATTTTATAATGATTTCTAAATCGCTTCGAAAATGCATGCTCATCTACCGTATCATGTGGTCACAGTCGATTTTAATAACTGACACACCACGGTCTCCTTGCTATACTCAAATTGTTTCTCTCAAAATGCCTCTTGAACTTTTCTTAAGCATGTTTGGATTACGTGTAGTCTATCCGGGCCGTTTTCAAAACGGCTTGGTGGATAGTTATGGATTCTTATTTAAAGCTCTTGTGAACGTTCAAGTATTAACTGTTTTATTCTTTTAAATTGTATACGTTGATCTAAAAAGTTTTCCTTTTTGTTGTCTTTATTTCAATTTTAATTTTTACTTTATTTATTATGAACGCTTTTCAAAATGAAACATCACACTAAATCTGTACTGCAGATACTAGGTATGGAACTCTTCACATAAAGGATTATATCTTGTAATATTTATTATTGATATAAATTGATGGCTAAATAGAGCACACTTTATACTTGCAGGTACCGGAATGTAAGGAATATTTTAAAACAAAATGCACAATAAAAATGTTTGTTGCACAAAACATTGGTTTATTGTTAGGATATGTCGCTATGCTGCTACTTGCTATGTATGAAGACAAACTTGAAATAAAATCATGAAGATAATTATATTATATTCTATCTGCTTATCAATTGTTAGATAAACTGGATGTTATGTTGCAGATAGAAGCTGGGCGTCATTGATAAAATGGTTGCGACCATCCAAGACCCCTTACACTAGCTTAAGGAGATTGCAACAAGATGTTATTTCTTACGTTGCAATATCTAAACTGATTTTTTTGTTTTATAAAAGTAGAATAATAAAGTTTATACATGAAACCGCAGTTTGGGATAATCACGACCGTATGATGATACACTTGCTATTATGGAATGCCGTTTACAGTGGAGCAGTCTACAATGGACACATTTTCCATAACTATTTAAAATATTGCTATGGAAACGCAATGGTTGCTTTATTTGCTTACTGATTTTGTAGAAAACATTATGTTATGAGAAAATACTTTTTTGTTCTAGAACGATTTATCATCTGCTATATATAGAAATGTAATATCAGATCATGTATCTTACACTTGCCAACAACATTTATCCATTATTATTTTAAGGTTTATTTTCATGTTTGTAAAAATATTATTCGGTATAACATATCTTCCACTATGAACCAGATTCACTTAAATACAACATAATGTATGACTTAATTTTACGAAAATTAAAGCAAACACGTCAACCATCAATTATTCTAAATAACAAATGTCTAAATGATTAGCTAAAATGAGACAATAGTTAAAACACCCACGCACATTTTACATCGCCCGCCTTAAATTTATGAAGAAACTGCAGTCACAGTATCAAATGATGTTGTGCTATGCCCGTTGGTAATGGAAACAAATTACAATATCGCATTTCTTATACTTTCGCTGTCAGAATTTCAATTATGAAAAATGGTATATTTGCAAGGGGAATTTCTGTAAATTAAAGGATCTTTTATAATAGATGGGGGCTTCTTTTTCCCTTCATGTATCAAATTATATAAGATCATTATCATTTTGCAAGAAAAAATAAAAAAAAGATTATGATAGAAATGTAATAATCAAAAATTTAATCAAATAAATGTTTTTTTTAAATATTTCACTGGCGGGTACACCTTTTTTGCTAGATGGGTGGTATTGGGAAATTGATTGATATTCTCATGTTGAGGCAGCGATATAATTTACCTCTTGATTACAATGTAAATTTTATTTTAAAAGTTAAAAAATTGATAAGATATGAATATTAAATGATTCAAGGACAGAATTTGAGTTGCATAAGCTAATTCAATATCATATTTTACAGTTTATTTGTATAATGTATATAACGTCACGACAAATATGTATGCAAGCCCGTGTCAAATCGTTTTTTGTTTGTTTGTGTGTGTAGGGTGGGGGCACTGTTTTATGATTGATCTATGTTTCTTAGTCTATGTAAAAGCTGCATCATAGCTTGATTGGTTCGTTACTTATCACGTTGTCGTTCATCTGCCATTCTGACGTCATTGACAATAAATACAATCTCTATTTGAGGTTAGAACATTTATTTTTTGTAACTTTGCAATTTACGAGAAGATATTGTAATAACGTCATTTTTTTCGTTATAAGTGTCAGCAAATTAGAACAATGCTATTAATGAAATGTTTTGCTTACGTCTGTATAAGATATTTAATTACTAATATGTATGTTGGTTGATTTGTGTCATGTCGTATTTTCGCTCCGCGGTGCGCCAGGCGAAATCACGACAATACTACAAAATTCCAAATTATCATATCCTAGTGTCTACTCCTAGCGCCCCACATAGAGAAACTACGACAAAGTCGTCACTTAGCCGTAGTTTCGTGTTTTGGGCTAGAGCTCCGCGGTGCGAAAAAATCAGCCACCATAAATATACATCTAAGCTAATGACCGCACGTTCGTTATTTTCTTTGTAACATTTGGCTTCCTAGAGACTGTCTTATACTTAAGTTAACAGCCGTACATTTAATGGCAAAATATGACGTAGCATATAGATATTACATCAATATGCCACTTAACATGCTTGAAATTAACGTCATTGACGTAATAAAAAGGTTATTGTTCTTTAAAGAACCATATTTATACGTCAAATATTGATCAGCTTGCTACTGATTAATGGCATGCAAGTCTACACCATGATTCTAGATGAAAAAGCAATACGAGGCGACGTCAGATTATTTCAGAAATCGGGTCTCTCAGATTTCGATAAAAAAAGTATCACGACCTGTTTATAACATTTTGTACTATTTTTTAACATTTGTTACAATTGAATGCTATTTATAGAATATGAGAAACAAGATCAACAAGGAAAGGCGGCGTTCAATGAACGCAACCCCCATATGACCCAGCAACAAGAACCAATGGCAAGGAGCCCAGGCGGACCCCAAACAAAAACAGGACAGGGCAAAGACAGAGCACGGCCAGGTCAAACATTAAATGATAAATAATTTATAACTCATTAGGAATTCAAAGAAAATAATAAATGGCCCACAAAGGGGAAGGGGACAGGAGACCGGGGGAAGGGGGGGGGGGGTTAATCAAAGAAATAAAAACCAGAGGCAATGGGGAAGATACTTACCGTAGACGAGAAAACAACAAGGGACACAAGCAAAAGTGTCACCAAAACAGTATGAAATAACATAGACATACATCTGAGGAACAGAGTAGGGCGCCGCCTTGGAACGGTCAGCAGCATATAATTATGACTGCTAGGGAGTTTAAACCGGTTAATGGTGCACCAAATCTCGCTCTTAGCCCCACCATGTTCCTATAAACGAGACAGTGTAAATAAAATGAATCCCCGCCAAGTGAAATTCTAACAGTTGTCATGGTTACAAAAGGTTAAATAAGTAAAACACTAAAATGATCATGTAGAAACATATAAAAGTAAACCCAATGACCATAACAAAAGTACTCAATGTCCTAAAGGAAGACAGAGCAACAAGAAAAACACCTACAAGGGCCCGACGAAGCAAGACAGAAGACGAACATTAAGACAATTCAGTCCCAAAGGGCTTTACGAACTATCCATTATATTACGAGTAAACAATTAAGTTTGAAGTTCTTGATATCAAATATAATTTGTGCAAAACAAAAAACGAGACAGTCATGGATTCTCCTAATATGTATAATGATAGTTATAACATAAAATAATCTTCCTTTTAGTTCACGTGAGCTAATTGTGATTATAATTTGTCAGGCGTCCATCGTCCAGACTTCCATGTCAATCATTGACTTTTCTGTAGGAACCAGTGACGTTTATAGCAACCAATGAATTTTCACACAGCCATTGATTTTCCAAAGCAACCAGTGAATCCCTTGGCAAACAATCCGTTCCCTAGCACCCAGAGACATCCTTAACAACCATTGATTTTCCATAGCAACCATCACTTTGTTCAAAGCTACTAGTTTTTTCATAGCAACCAGTGACTTTCCATAGTAATCAGTGACTTACTCATTGACTATCTATAGTAACCTTTGACTTCCAAAGCAATCATTTACTTCCATCGCAACCAGGGACATCCATAGCAACCGATGATGTCCATAGTAACCAGAGATTTCGATAGTAATCATAGACTTCAAAAGCAATTATTGACTTTCCATAACAACTTTTGACTTTCCATAGCAACCAGTTAGTACCATAATAAGTATTGACTTTTCATAGCAATTATTGACTTACCGTAGCAACCAGCGACTACCTTAGGCAAGCATTGACTTTCCATAATTAGCATTGACTTTCCATAGCAACCAGTGATTTTGAAATCAATTATTGATTGCCCATATTTAACATTGGCTTTCCCTAGCAACCAGTGACTTTCATAGAACCATTGACTTTCTATGACTATCATTGACGTTCTTAGCAACCATTGACTTTCAAAAAAAACATTGTTTACTTCAGCCAGGTGATCGATAAATTGGTCATCATGGCCCTTTTCTTTATTTTTGTTTTTTGGTTTGGCGTTTATTTCATAATTAGTTTATATATTCATATATAGGATCATATTTTGTTGTAAAACTAAATGGAACTGTATCTGTTGAGGTAATGCCTTGATAAAAGACCCACTAAAACAAGTAAAATGATAAAATTTCTAGTTTTCAAGTTTTTTTGTTGTTTTAATTTAAGTGTGCATTTGAAGTTGTGTTATATACGTTCTTTCTTTTTTTTTGCTTCTGTAACATTTTGGCATTGATTTAGTTTAACTGATTTAGTATGTTGTATTGAAGTCAAATTCACATTTTGCTGCCTGTATGACAACCTTTTTCACTGTTTCCGTTAAATTAGCCAGGTGATAAGCATCTATGTTCCCACTGCATTATAACAGCATAATATTTGACCTTTTCTAACGAAATATATATGTATTAATTTCTAAGGAATATTGTGCCTTTAACAGTGTTTAATTATATATGAAAAAACTTGACGCTATTGTTACATGTAGTATTTCATAACCGTACTTGCTATCTTGCAGTAACTATGCCAGTTCAAATTGTTGGGAAAATATTTGCGAGGTATAATGTCTGCAAATGTTTACGGACATTTATTTTTGCAGGAATCTTTAAAAAGATGATTGATCATGGTATACGCGTGTGTTAAAAGCTACTTAAAAAAGAAAACCAAGAGAGAGTTTTTTTTCGCGAAATCAGCAAAATTTAAAGCCTCGCAAAATATCTGATCCTACAGCATTTAAGCTAGATTGTATAACTTTACACGTCTTTTCTATCTTTATCTCGAAATGTAAGCTGCCCGATATAATGTTGCAAGTCACGTGTTTCATAGTTTCCAAGATATATAAGGTGATAGAAATAATTTGTCAAGCAACGCTTTTGCAATAAGTTAAAAACTAGAATTACATATGTGGAGAAAATACAGATAGACGGAGCGATTATATCTGTCAAATCTATATAAGGACAAATAAACAGTGAAAAGTGGCAACGAAATGGTTATTGAAAATAGTTTCAGACCTATCGCATTAATGTGTCACTGTGCAAGTTTATCTGAACTAAAGTTTATTTATAAAGAAGTTAACTCATTCTTTAATACTTATACTGCTGTTGTTTCCATATCATCTAAC